CACTACTCACTCTTGCTTTCTCTTTCTCTTGTTCCCTGTAATGAGCAGGACCTGGGATGGCTTAGCCACAGCAGTCAGGAGAGGAAATGCACCGCCTATCTGGCCCCTGCTTCAGCCTCCGAGGAGGGGGAAACAGAGGAACGCTATAATCCAGAGACATGGAAAGTCAGGATGGGGCCCAGGAGAGGGGTTTGGGGCGGAGAGTATGAGGATGCAGTGATGGCAGGCGGGACCACATCAAACTAGACCTTTCCTCTTACCATGGCTCGGAAGCCTGAAACCACGAGGGCTGGGCGGGAGGGGGAAAGATCCCCCTCCGCCCCCCTCCCCCCCGCTGAGGAGCACCCTGTGTGCCTGGAAAGGGAGGTGGGAAGGAGTTACCCCAGCTTTGCCCTCCAGGGAGCAAATCCAGAAGTGGGGAAACGGGGAAGTCCTTTGATCTGAAGTAGAAAAACGTGGGGAAAGAGGGAAAAAGAACAAAAGCGGCCCCAAATTCGATGCAGCCAGACAGGGACAATAAGAAGCAGAGGGCGTTAAGATTCCCGTTACAGAGGGTAAAAGCACACTTCTTAACCTTACCCCTGGCTCGGGAAAGGCCTCCTGAGGGGGTATCTGGGTCCAATCAGCCTAGCAGAGTTAGAAGCACAAATGTCCCAGGAATCCCACTGCACCCCAGACTTTGAAGTACGTAGAGATTTGAACAGCTTGAAATTGATAGAAAACTTTCGGCATTTGATCAAATTATCCCACTGTAACTATGCAAGTTCTGGGCTCTATCTAGAAAGAACAGGGCAAGCTGGGGAGGAAAGAGTCATTTAACATGCCATTTCCTTCCTCATTTCTACCCCACTGATCTGTAGGTCTCAATTCCTGCTACTGTAGTTGCTGTTTTAACAACCAGGAAGCTATGAGACCTTTTGGGTTATCTTTAGAGTGACACCCTGCAGAAGGTTTTAGGCCGAGCCTTGGGCTGGGCGATCCGATGTCATTTGCCACAGGCTGACAATTGCTTTGGGGTTCTGAGGGTTTTCTGTCTCCCAGGGTGGTTCAGACAGTAGGTTTCCTGGGTTAATGCTATGTGCATTATGCAGAGCCTCCGACTATGGTGGGAATAGGGTGCTTTGTGAGATCCCAGTGGTAACACACAGAGAAGGCCAACTATTTTGTGTGATTTGGGGTGTTTTAAAGAAAAAAAGCGGGCCACCTGGGTGGCTCAGTGGGTTGACGTCTGCTTTCAGCTTAGGTCATGATCCCAGGGTCCTGTGATCGAGCCCTGAGTTGGGCTCCCTGCTCAGCCCTCTACCTCTGCCCCTCCCCCTGCCACACTCCTGCTTACGCCCTCTCTCTCTCTTTCTCAAGTAAATAAATAAATAAATAAAATCTTTTAAGTAAATAAATAAGAAAAAAAACGATCTCTCTGGAAGGGCAACACTAAGAAAAGGACACAAGCTCTGCAGTTAGAAAAACCTGGATTTGAGTTCTGACTCAGCCCCTTACTTGGGCAAGCCACTTCTTCTCTCCACCTCTACTGTCCATCTCTAAATGGGGGGGATTAAGAGCCCCTTCAGGCTGTTGTAAGGATTTAATAAGATGTACAATTGCTATGACTGCAGGCACATGGTGAGTTGTAATTTATTGCCCCCGTGTCCTAACGTGCACCCTGAGACTTATTTTTTAAATAGTGAAAGACAGGTTTTCACTGTGGAGTTTTTTCTCCAGCCTGTTGATGTTTATGGAGGAAAAAAAACAATAACTTGCAATTGGCAAAGGCTATCAAAGCGGCAGAGCCCATTTTAGGACAGTGATCAAGACCAGTGATGTCCTCCCGTTAAGCGGGGCCTAGCAAACGCTCACCACGGAGCTCACTGCTCCACCTGACAGGAGCAAAGAGCCAAGCTCTTGTCTCATTTTCTTTCTGATGTGTTCACCGTCTTTACGTAACAGACAAGGTAGCTTACCCTGGGTGCAGACATGTCTGGACCAGTCTGGAGGACCCATCGGGCACCCTCTCCACCCCAGGACTGATTACTTGCAGGACCAAGATCCCTGTCCCAAGGAGAGGCAAAGTGGAGGGACATTCATCTCATTCAATGACAAGAGATAACAGTGGACGGAGGGAGGGCAGAGGTGTTTCTGAGGACAATTATGTCTCCCCCAGTGGAGTCCTAGGACAAGAGCGCTGTAGTAAAAGGGAATGAAAATGGAATCGAAGGCTTTTCCCTGAAACATCTGTGGGCCAGCATGACACAAGGTCCTGGGGCCAGCTGCTTGGCTGTGAACAAAGATGGCCTTGATGGCTTCACAAAAACCCTTCGGAAAGGGCCAGTTTCAGACAACACTACCCAGTTGCTTTTTTCCTGGTTTCCAATGGAGTACAGTTAAAATTTGTTTAGTTTTTATTTGGGGGCAATAAAAATACTAGTATTTTACGAGACTACAAAATACATCCAGAAAAAATGGAAGCCTGATGCTATGATCCATGACTTCTCTGAATCAGAGCAATCTGGCATCTATTTTTAATGCATATATAACATTATAACTGACAGAGATATTAGTATTTTGTCAAGATTCATTAATAGAAATTGGGGTAGATTATATACTGAAGATAATAATATGTAGAAGGAAGCTGGATCCAATTTTAAAGTCATTCACGGACTCTCTCACACATCCGTTCATTGAATGCATTCCCTGAATGTCTTTTACGTGCTGAGGTGGATAGCAACGTGTTTGTGCCCTCAGCATGGGTGAGTCCACAAAATATTCCTGGGGATTTGCTCCCCAGACTATTAGGGCTGTGTGTGTGTGTGGGGGGGGTGATAGGTCTGGAGGCCTCACAAAGCAGGAACCAGGGGAGCCAGTCAAATCCCACTGGTTCCTACCTCCAAGCCTTTATCTGCAGGCTGGTGTGGTTTGGGACCACGATGTTCACCTGTAAAATAAACCGGCTCAACCAAATGATCCTAACGATCTTTATTTTGTTTAAACCTCTACACACTGAAACTCTTAAGTCCCTATAAATAAGCAATAATGAATTATGAACCAGATGTTTTAAAAGCAGCTTCTATAACTTTGGGATCCAGTCCAACAGCTTTAGCTGAGAGGCTTCTAAAACGTTCCACCTCTCATCCCTCCCCTTTATTACTCTTTGCTGCCGGATCAGGCGCTACTTTGCTTCAGGTCCTTGCTGCCTAGTGCATTTACAGGCCCAGAAGAGTAGCAATTCTGGATTTCTAAGAGAATTAATCTGGTTTTTAAATATAGGCTAACTCTGGTTTCTCTTCAGATCGCATAAATATAGGCTAATAATTCAAAAATATTTTTTAAACCCTGCCTGGGCCAACACTGTGTACCTTTAAAAAAAAAAAAAAAGGGTGCCTGGGTGGCTCAGCCAGTTAAGCATCTGCCTTCAGCTCAGGTCATGATCCTGGGGTCCAGGGATCGAGTCCCGCATCAGGCTCCCTGCTCAGCGGGGAGTCTGCTTCTCCCTTTCCCCTTCCCCTTGCTCGTCCTAGCACTCTCTCTCTCTCTCTCTCTTTTTCTCGCAAAAATAAATACATAAATCTTTAAAAAAATTAAAAACAAAAACAAAAACCAAATCAGCAGGCTGACTGACCAATGCTACCAGTAAGAGACAACAGCCAGCATGCCCCGCTGAGCCATGCCCCAGGTGTGCTCACTTGGCCCACAGGCTCCAGGAAGCAGGAGCAGAGATGAAGGACGGATCACCGAGCCCACGTGATGCCTTAGTAAGAATTGGAAAAGGCTGCCCTCCTTCCTCTGGGCAGATGCACAGGTTGGGGAGCAGGAAACAAGTTGTAGTTCAACCCAGCTCATCCAGTTGACTGCACAACCATAACAATGGCTGGCATGGGAGCCCCTGTTTTATGGGCTGAGGACAGAACTGCCTGAGGTAGGACGTCAAGGGCTCCCTCCACACACTTAAAGTTACTGTCAGAAGTTCAATGGCTGCACTCTCCAGTATGGTAGCCACCAGTCGTCTCTGGCTATCTAAATTTATATTAAAGTGAAATAAAACTAAAAATTTCATCCCTCGGTCATACTAGCTACACCTTAAGTGTTCAATAGTTACATGTGGCCAGTGGCTACCATATTGGGGAGTGCAAATATGGAATGTTTCCATCACAAAAAGTCCTCATAGCATTGTTCTATGGGATCTCTTTCGGTTCTATTAACCACTTCTAAGTCTTGACCAGCTTACCTTTCTCGCATCCTTCTTGCCACTCCCCATCATGGGGTGCACTCTCCAGCCCTTCAGACCATTCATCATGTTCCCAACATTCTGGGTCATGTCCAGTCACCCTACTTTTTGTTCATGTTCTCCCCTCTTCCTAAAATGTCCATCCTCTACCAATCGCTGCCCATCCAGTAAAATCCTGCTCTCTCTTCAAGACCCAGGTCATATGCTGACTCTCAGTACCCCCTAGGTAGACACTGTTTTCTCTTGAGAGCTTCCAAAGCTGCACATTCATCTCATAGCACAATAAGCACTGATTCTAATCAGATGTTTGCCTGTCTTGTCTCACCTTGCCTGTCTTGTCTCACCTGCCTTATTCATCTCTGTGTCTCCAGGGCCTAGGTGAAAAAGACCCTCAGAGCTGCATCTCTGGAAGGAATAGTTTCTTGAACACTATCATGAAGGCTCTGTGTGTGACAATTGTGTAATAATATTTGTACACAAAATGCTACGAGCTTTGCAGATGGTGCATTGCGTCCACCTTCTCTGAGCCTCGGAGCACGGGTAGATGGGCACTATTTCCATCCCAGCTCTTGGGTGAGGGAACAGAGGCTCGGAGATGGGCAGTCATCCAAGATGACTCAGAAATGACAAAGCACATTTGGCCAGAGGTCTTCCTGCCTCTGGTTTGAGGGAGTGGTCTGTGGACGCAGCCTCGCAGACCTGCATTGGCTCCTTGGAGCTATAGGACAGGAGCTAGGACAAGTTGCTCCAGGGAAACAGAGGGTCCAGGGCAGCGGCCGCTTCCCACCCACACCTCTTTCCCCAGAGGGAGGACCTGTCGTTGGGACGTTTGCACAGGCTTCATTCCTCTGGACGGGGTTGGACCAGGCCAGGAACCCCATTTGGCCTCTCCTTTTCCTCCCTAACTGCCATGTGTCACTTCCCGCTAACTCGGGCACAGCCAGTTTGACTCTGGCTGGGAGAGAGAAGGTTTCCCCAACCTTGCCTTTTGCCTCAGCTCCAGGCCAGATGCTCTGATCTCCCCCTCTGTCCTCAGAACCACGGTTTCCACAGCAGGCTTAGGTAAGCTGGGCAGTTTTATGATGACATAAAAAAATATTTCTTTCCTGCAAGAAGCTTGAGTGTCATGACTAACTCTGGGCATCTCATTACTGAAGCTCTTCCTGCCTAGGGAGAGACATTTTGTACTCAAAACGCACTAAAAAGAGTGGACAGAATAGGGGAAGGAAGCCCAGGTTGAAAGGCACAGCCTGTCCCCACCCCTCCGCCCCACCCCCCCCTCCCCCCGCTAGCCTCCCCTCCCCGCACAGGCTTCTGGGGGCAGCACTGAGGGCTACAGCACTCATTGTCAAAGCGTGAGTCTGACCTCCGGCCACGCCGCCTCCATTTCTGTTTTTCTGCCCTTGCCCTCCTTCCTCTTTTCATTCTCATTTTCCTGCTTCCTATTTCTCTCTTCTGCACACACCTTCAGTCTCCCTGAGAGTTCCCCAGGTATTGCGTGGCCCCACAGGGGTGCACTCAGTGCAGAAAATACTTTGATGTGTCCTCTCGAGCCCCAGCTGACTACCTCTGCCTCCCTCTACAACCCACTATAAAGTCTCTGCTTGATGCTTTGAGGTCCAGAGTCTATGAGTACAAAGGGTTGAAAGGTGAGCCAGCGCACACGTAGGAGGAGGGAAACACCCTGCATGAAAGGAGTCAGGTCAATTGCTTCCTTGCAGATCACCTTTCTCTCCAGCCCTGACCGCCCAGCTTTAGGCCTCCTGTGCTAATCTGACCTTGGCAATCTGATTCTGAGTGCTGGTGTTCCTGGTTTCTCCCCATATGTGACATTGGATGAGCCTGATCTCTAGGTAAGGACCAGCCTGACAACCTCTTGCCTGTTCTTGGTGATGCTTCTGCTTTGGTTTGGCATGTTCCACCTCGGACTGCCCCTAGCTCCGTGTCAGCCCTTTGTATGACCTGAGCCTCTTCTAAAACTAAGCACTATAATGTAGAGGTTAAGAACACAGGCCCCAGTGTCAGACTAGCTGTGTTGGAACCCTAGTTCTTGTCGCTTACTAGTTGTGTAACCGTGGACACATTATTTTGCCTTTCCACGCTTCCATTCTCTTAGCTATAAAGGGCAGGGATCATAATACCCATCTCATGCAGGTGTTGTAAAGATTCAGAGCAATGAGATATAGAAAGGGCTTCTAACAGTGTCTGGAACACGGAAATGGCTCAGTAGATATCAGCCATTATCATTATTGTTATTTTCACCAATTTCCAAATAGGAAATTTTCCTTTTTTTCCTAAGATCCAAAAATTTCTTCAAGAAGGTTTTCATAGAAGACTACCTACCCACTGAAGGATCCTGAATCTCCTCAAGATTGATGATAGGAGCCATGTCGGATGGCTCCTACCATGGACCTCTGGGAATGCCGTAATACCTCTGCTTTTTTCCCAACTAGCTCAGGACTCAGGATGTTTTTGGTCCATGAGCTGCCTTCAGGCCTGTATACCGATTAGCTATAGACACACCTGCATTAAAAGTGATTTCATTCTCAGATCTACAAATGGCCCCAGTCTCCCCACTTTCCAAGGCCAGAGAAGGGTCATAAGGTCAGAGCTCTAGCACAATTCTGGAGAAAGTTCCCCTGACCTGAGGAGGTCCAGAGGACACTTGACTGTTGGTTGTTAATCCCCAACCCTCACATCCAATGAGCCTATGGGGCTGATAGAGTCTCCAGATGACTCAACTGCAGAACGGGGCTGTCTGTGTGAGCAGGTGGGACTGAGGTTGGGAGAAGAGGGAAAGCAGGAACCAGAAACACCACAAGACCAAACAGATGGAAAATTCTCTTTTGAGAACCTGACTATTAAGTCCAAAGGAGCGTGAGCAAAACCCAAGTGGAATTTAGGCAGATGCTAAAAACCAAGAAGCCCAACCCAAGAGAGCAGGGAGACTGTGTATGGGAGATGGGTGGCAACAGAGATCAGACAGCAGAGAAGTAAGAGTAGCCAACAGCAAGGTGCATAGGCAGAAATTTTGCTAAAGGGGGGTGCCTGGGTGGCTCAGTCAGTTAGGTGGCTGCCTTCAGCTCAGGTCATGATCTCAGGGTCCTGGGATGGAGCCCCAGGTCGTGCTCCCTGCTCAGTGGGGAATCTGCTTCTCCCTCTGCCTCTCCAGCCCCCTGGCTTGTGCTCTCTCTCTCGCTCACTCTATCTCACAAATAAATAAATAAAATCTTTTAAAAAAATTAAAAAAAGAAATTCTGCTAAAGAGCCCCAAACTGCTGTCCCCACCCCCCATATCTCCAGTGTGATATGGAGCCAACTTCAGGTTAGGAGAGCCTAGAAACCAGCTCTTAGTGAGGGCTTAGGCAAGCGGGACAGAATGTGTAGCCTGCTGCTGGGGTTTAAAGCTGGGGCTCCAGTCTTCTTTCCCAGGTTCTGGAAGAGTCAGGGGGGTGGGTTAGCACCACAGGGAGCATGGAAGTACAAAGGTACAGCACAGTGCTTTGACCTTAACTTAGCACCCTTTACCTCTTGGTACCCAGGGTGGTTTGCCTTCCTGTCACCCATCTCCTCATTTTTGGTAATAGCCCTTGATATTCCCTTGGGAAGCCATTTGTCCCTACTCTCAGCCACCACGCTCAGTGTAGAGTCCCCACCTCCAGCCTCCAGAGTAGACCATGTGACCACCTCCAGCCTTCAGAGTAGACCATGTGGCCAATCACAGCACTCTGCCTCCCTGGCCAATGAGATTGGCTCAGAGCAGAGCAGTCACCTTAGGTAGCTGATGTGACTGTAGTCGTCTTGTCACCATGTGGAGCGGAGACTGAAGGATGAAAAAGAACAGAGCAAAGAGGAGAAGCAGAGGGAGACCAGGTCCTAATGGCATCGTTCCAGCAGTGCCCAGAGCTAGCCCGTGCCCCTGGGTTTTGCAGTTGTGTTTACCAAGAAATTCCCTATTAGTTTAAATCAGTTTGGTTTGGCTTTATTATCACTTTCAACCAAGGCATCCTAACTGAAGGCTAAAACAGCTGAAGAGACCTATTTCCAGACCCCACTTGCCCAATGATGTAGGTAGTTCCTGATTTATTCTGAGGCTATGCTCCCATTGGCCCAGGGCCCGGGTGAGGCTCAAGCTGCAGGTGCCTGATGTTACTGTGGGCACCCTATCAGGCTTGGGTTGGCAGAAAAATGAGCAGACCTACAGAAAACCAGGTTCTTCCTGATGCCTTATATTCTGCTTTCATATCTCCATCTGCCCCTGAAGGAGTTCAATAGGTTGCTACCCTTTTGGACAGTAATGGTTATACTTCACCTTAAAAAAAAATCTATATCTAGACATTTATATTTTATCTATATCTGTATCTATCTATCTATGTATATATATAAACTCTTTTTTGCATGGAAGAACTAAGGCAGAGAAAAGTATAAAGATGATCCTATAAGAAAACATGTCCCTGGGATAATCAGAGTGAGAACCCCAAATCCTTTGAAACTGTTTATGACAAATGGCAAAAGCATCCATTGCTGTTAAATCTCTCTCTACTGTTCCTTCTTACAGGCCCCAAATTTGAAGACTTAGTTACCATATGCCTTAGTTAAATTAGGATAACCGCTGAAACAACACACCTCCCAATGTATAATGACTCAATATAACTGAAATGTATTTCATGTTCTCCTAATAGCATTGGATCAGGGAACAGGGTGGGCTTCTTCTGTGCAGTCACGCAGGGATCCAGGCTGATGGAGGCTCTGTCATCTTCAACACGTGAGCTCCTTTCAATTTCAGCCAGCTGGATGAGCAAAGGACCGTTGTGTGGGAGGCTTTTATGGGTCAGGCTTGAAAGTGACGCATGTAACATCTCATTCCATTGACTAGAGTTCAGTTATGTGGCCATGACTAAATACACAGGAGTCTGAGTGTCGTCTGTCTGTGTGCCCAGGAAGGAGAGGAAAACTTATAGTCATCAGTCACTGCTACTGCATCTGATGTTCCTTTTCTGAATTCTGAATAGCACTTTAATCTTGCAATTTCTTCTTTAGTTTTTTCTTGTGGATGTTTGCAATGCACAATAGGTTTGGGACTAGAACACCAGCCCTGGAGAAGCTAATTATTTCTTCCTTCTACATTCAGCCGGATAGTCAATGCATATTTGTTGAATGAATAAATGAATTCAATACGATTAAAAGAAATGGAGCCTGTGAAAGGGAATATATTGTTTATCGGACCCAGCAGTTTCAGTTAACAACTGGGGAAAGTGAGATAGAACTTACTATTTAGCCCTAGAAAGCTAATTTTTTAAGAATTTTTGCATAAATTGTCTTATTTTACCATCTGAATTTTAATAATACATCAATAGCATAAGAAAGGAGAATTTAAAGAAGTAGAAACAGAGATGCTCTTTCCTATTAAACTCAACTATTATCAAGTAGCTCTTTGGCAATCCTTTGTGTGCTTAAGGAAACTGCATTTCTTTATCTCTCAGCGCCTCCAATATGTGAAAAGTCCTGGGTTCTCAGCTTGTTCTCTGCTTGTCTTCTTCATGGCTACTGCAGCTTGGATGAGGAAATTCCTCACCAGGGCTTTTTGAGAGTATGGCTTCGTCCTGCAATACTGAGACTTATGCTCATTTTAAAAACATTTGAGGGATGCCTGGCTGGCTCAGTCGGTATTCGGTAGTCGGGTTATCAGTTCAAGCCCCATGCTGGGTGTGGAGAGTTCTTAAAAAAAATGAATAAATAAAATTTAAAAAATAATAAAATAAAAGTTTTCTTGTTTAGATAGATAGATAAATAAATAAATAGATAAATAAATAAATAAATAAATAAATAAATAAATAAATAAATAAATTTGACCATATGCTTTTCAAAGTGTTTCCATAGCCAGGGTTTTTCTAGATCCTTCGGACAACTCTGTGAAAGTGGTATGAAGTCATCATCATCCCTAGCCCCAGAAAGGTGACTGGTTCACGGCCTAAGGTGGGCGCAGAGCTAGACTAGCCCCCCGTTCCTCTGCCGTTCTACTAACCCATCTCCTGAAGGAGTGCTGTTTTATTCATCTCTGATAAATCCCCCCCTCCCCACCCCTTCCTCCTGTTTTCTATTTCAGATAAGAAATGGGGGAGGGGCGGGGGAGGAGACAAAAGGTCAAGATCAAGATTAAAATGTATCTCTTTCCCTCTAGTCAACAGAGTCTGTTTCCAACCCTGAAAGCGGTCCCCCAGCAATAGATGAGTAAATTGTCCATTCAACTTCCTGCCCACCTTACTTGTCAATAAGAAATTTGCATGGATTTTTCTCATTGTCAACTAAGAGGCTTTCCGTCATTATAGGCTGTCTTTAGAAGGAGTAGAACCTTTCCCCTCCTAATGTTTAGAAGGTATTTTGAAGATAATAGAGCAGGGTTTTGATTTGTTTTGTTTTTTAATGTATGCCATGGTTTCCTCACTTCTATAATTACAGTTGAATCACTTTGTGGCAATGTATCACCAGGGGCTTAGGGAAAGAAACCGGGTTGATTTCCACATAATGATCCAAATAAAAAAGGCTGAGAAATGAGCCCTGAGCCACTAAGCCCACTGCAGTGTTCGTAACAGGTTTATGTTTAGAAGCGGCCATGGCAAGTTTCCCTGATTTGCGAGCATAAAAATAAAGCATTTTCCTGTGGGTTATTTCTAATCTGCAAATTTTTTCCATAGCCAGATTTGCCTTGACCTCAGGGGTAAAACTTGAAACTTCAGAAAGAAATGCTTCTCACTAGCAGTTCCCATGATGCTATCAATCCCATTGTAGGACCAACAATTAATTATAACAATAAGAAAAACATTATTCATCCAGGCCTCCCTTCCTGCTCTTAAATTCATAAAACTCCCTGCCACCCGGACAGTTGATGGGTGTGTGTGCGTGTGTGCGCGCGTGCGCGTGCGTGTGCGCACAAACATGCACATGCTTAAAAAAAAACCTGATTAAAATTACAAAGTACACAGTGGAAAACTCTAAAAGGAAAAATAGCAAATAATTAAAGTAGCTACATAAGAGTGGTGATATTAATGGGGGATGGGTCTTTACTCTCTTTTTCTAATTATATTGCAGTTTTATTACTTAACTAAAATTAATATTAATTCAATGTAAAAAGTTTTAAGTACTTTACTCTTCACTGTTTATTGAGTGCCTACTATGTGTCAGGTTTTGTTCTGGGTGCTAAGAATACAGGGAGAATAAGACACGGTTCTTTCATAGGAGCTCTAGTCAAATAGGGGAGACAGATCATAAACAGGTAATTATATAAATTTATTAATCAACGTATTCAACAAGTATTTGTCGAACACCTACTTTGTGCCAAAAATGTTCTGAGTGCTGCGAATCAGCAAGGAACAAAGCAGGCAAATGTCCTTGACTTCGTGGCGCTTATATTTGAATTGATTTAGATACTGATTCATTTCTTTTTTTAAAATTTTTTACTGTTATGTTAATCACCATACATTACATCATTAGTTTTTGATGTAGTGTTCCATGATTCATTGTTTGTGCATAACACCCAGTGCTCCATGCAGAACGTGCCTTCTTTAATACCCATCACCAGGCTAACCCATCCTCCCACCTCCCTCCTCCCCAGAACCCTCAGTTTGTTTTTCAGGGTCCATCGTCTCTCATGGTTCGTCTCCCCCCCCCATTTCGCCCCCTTCATTCTTCCCCTCCTGTGATACTGATTCATTTCTAATTAGCATGAGTATCACGAAGGGAAAGTACAGGGGACCTGACTCATCTAAAAGGTCAGAGATGACGTTCCCAAGGAAGTGACATCAAATAAAATCAGGTTTGGCTTTGCCCTCCCGGACTAAGAGAGCTCCCCTAGATGGCAGGAAATCCCCTAGGTGACTATTTTCTGGCAGGTGTTCCGTGTTGAGGTCTGTCTCGCAGGTCCATCTGCTGTGGAGGCGCCTGGTGCGAGAGATGCCTCCCATCCCGGGCTGGCAGTGGAGAGGGATCTGGAACCAGATTTCAACTAGTCGCCACCGTCCATTTGTGCGCCAGCACATTGTGTCTGGGAAGTCCTGATACAGAAAAAAAGCAAGGCCATCCTTCCCTCATAGTGCCAACAGTAACTAATGGACCTTTCTTTTCCCAGATGGGAAACCTGGAGCTGAGAAGACAAATCCAGCAGGAGCCAGAGAGGCCTCTGCTTCGCTGGTCTGGAGAAAGCAACTGCTCGATTTTGGGTCTGCCCCTCAGACGGCAGAGCTCCGGGTCACCAGCCTAAACCGCTTAATGCACATCACGCCACGGTCTACTTGGAAATGGCTGAAGGCACTTAAATGGAACATCCAACCTTTGTCCTCAGCCCCCAGACCACAGGTAAGTATTTAGGTCTGTGTAGTATCGATCATGCCTCCCACCAGCACCAGGAAAAACGTTGTGAAGCAAGTCAGCTTTCCAGTGACAAGGAAGTCATTCTCCTAATCCGCTCTCACTGGACAATCAGGTTGACAAAAACCATTAAGTTTTCTGAGATTAGAAATTCACTGTCAGAGGGAGCCATGTATAGAGTTTTCCACTCCATTACACCCAGGACAATAACCAGAGGCCAAGTGACAGGAAAAGGCTGGGGTCTGTCTTTTTAAAGTTTCCTGTGTCCTTGGGTGGAGGGAAATAAATTAACAAGTGCCTCCCTTTTGTAGGACATGGGATATATATTATCTCATTAATCAACGCAACAGCCTAGGAGGTGAGTTCTGCTGATTGCATTTGTTAGAAGAATAAGCTGGGGCTCAGCAGGTTTGGGTCACTAGCTAAGATCACCCAGCTATTTAAAGTGACATGGGGCTGCGAATCAGAATCACTGGGCTGGAGGGGTCCAGAGGCTCATAACCTACTTTCTTCTAAGCAGAACGACTCTTTAGCCATCACGGCCTGGTTCCCTCTGAAAGATACCATGGCTCTGGGGGCACCTGGGGGGCTCAGTCGGCTAAGCATCCGACTCTTGATTCCGCTCAGGTCATGATCTCAGGGTCCTGGGATGGAGCCCCAAATTGGGCTCCACGCTCAGCGCCGAGTCTGCTTCAGGATTCTCCCTCGCCCGCTCCCTCTGCACCCCCACCACTCACATGTGCTCTCTCTCTCTCTCTAAAATAAATACATAAAATCTTAAAAAAAAATAAGTAAGTTGCCATGTTCTGCAGCAACTGGAAGCAGGCTGGTGCTGTGGCGAGGACCACAGACTATGGCAGATTCACGTCCACGTGTCAGTTCTGCATCTCGCTGTGTGACCTGGGAAAGTTCCTTCACCTCTCTGTCACCTTCTCCCCCATTCATGAGGAGACGATAACCTAAAAACACCTATCCCTTAAGGGCTCTGGGGACTAAATAAGTTCACACATGTAAAGCGTTTAGCACATTGCCTGAAACGGACAGGTCCTGAAAGGAATCTGTGAGGAATAGGAAGTGGCTGTTTCAGTTATGTTTTTCCTCTAAGTTTATGTAACCACATCACGGAAGGCTTGGGAAATAGAAAGAAGAAAAAATCACCCATATTCATAATGACTATTATCATTATGGTATAGTCCTTCCAGTATTTTTCCAATGCATTTATTTATTTTTTTTCTCCACAGACAGGAGTGTTTTTCTTTGCAGTGTCCTGTTCTTTTTCGCTTAGCATTATACTCAAATCGTTTATTCCATTCACAGTCTTTATTTTGATAACTGTACAATAGTCCATCATACGGATGTGCCACAATTTAGTTCTTTGTTTCTCCACTGGCTGATATTTTTTTGTTGTTTTCAATTTCCCACTATTATAAATTATGCTGGCATGAACATTTCTGTGCACATAGCGTTTATACATACCTCTATCTGAACATTTACCACAGTGGACGGCAATGCTCTATTTATATGGCTGTCTTCCTGAAGAAGACTTGAAGCTTCTATCCTATTTTCTAGCTATAACAGCTGTGGACCAAAAAAAAAAAAAAAAGACTCGAAGTTTCTGGAAGGTAGGAGTAGGTTTCCTCTTCATTGTACCTCCAACATGTGGCTCTGACACTGAGTCTGTTTGTTGACTCAAAAACTTTCCCCCTGTTTTGAATTTTGGTTTTGGATATTTCTTTAGGCTAGATTTCCAGAAATGGAATTAGTGGGTTAAAATATATGTCCTTTAGGGGGAGGTGTTGGTAGTGAAAGGGTTCAATAATCAGAGTATTACCAAATTGCTTTCCAAAGAGCTTGTACTAATTGACCCTGCTACCAGTTGATGCCTTCTCACTGTCCATCAACTTCATGTTTTTTGTGAACAAATTAAGGGGGGGAAAAACGTCTAGAGATAAAAATAGCTGAAACAGTGTCAAAGAAGAGAAGAACAAGGTGGAAAGACTTGCTTCACCAGATTTTTTTTTAAAAGATTTTATTTATTTATTTATTTGAGAGAGAGAGAATGAGAGACAGCATGAGAGGGAGGAGGGGAGGAGGGAGAAGCAGACTCCCTGCCGAGCAGGGAGCCCGACGCGGGACTCGATCCCGGGACTCCAGGATCATGACCTGAGCCGAAGGCAGTTGCTTAACCAACTGAGCCACCCAGGCGCCCACACCAGATTTTTAATACATATAAAGCCACAGTAATTAAGTATATGTGGTATTAGTACAAGGACAGACAAATGGACCAGTGAAATAAAACCAACAGCCCATAAACTGACCCATATATACACATAAATATTTGCTCTATGACAAAAGTATCCTCACACAACAGTGGGGAAAGTATCCTTGAATAAATGGTGTTAGGAAAATTACATATACATGAATGGAATTAGATCCCTACCCCACACTCTGCACAAGAAGTCAATTCCAAGTAAACTAAAACCTAAATGTGAATAGTAAAATAATAAAACTTTGAAAAAATAAAGGACAATATCTTCATGATTTCAAGGTAGGGAAAGGTTTCTTAAACAACATACAAAAACGTTTGATAAGTTTGACTACATTGAAATGAGAGCTTCTATTCATTTAAAAACACAATCATAAGATGAAAAGGCAAGCCCCAGAGTGAAAGAAGGTATTTGTAACACATATCAACGACAAAAGAATTGTATCCAGAATGTATAGAGAAAAGGACAGGTAGCCCAAAAGGGGCAAAAATTTGAACAGGCATTTCCTAGACCAGAAATCCAAACAGCCAATAAATACTTGAAAATACGCTTAACATTAATAAGCAGGAAAATTCCAGTTAAAACTACAATGGGATATCACTGCACAACCAACAGATGGGTTAAAATTTTAAATCTGACAAAACAAAGTGTTGGTAAAAATGTAAAACAATATCCTCCACTGCTAATGGAACTGTAACACAACCATCTTAGAGAACTGGCGTTGTCCAGGGAAGGTGCTACAAGGACTTATTCTATAACACAGTAATGCCACTCAAAAGCATGCATTCTAGATCATGTATCAACACAATTTTTTTGTAAAAGACCAACAAGTAAAACAGTCTCTGCCACATCCATTCAACTCTACCAAGCATTGAAGCAGCTACATATAGTACATAAAGAAATTGGCACAGCTGTGTGCCAATAAAACTTTATTTACAGACACTGAAATGAGAATTTCACGTGACTTTCATGGGTCATGAAATAGTATTCTTCTTTGAAATTTTTTCAACCATTTAAAAATGTCAACGTATTCTCAGCTCACGGACCATACAAAAGCAGGTGGTGGGCCGAGTTTGGTTTGTGGGCTACAGCTTGCCAACTCTAGCTCTCCAGTGCTCCTCAAGGATGCGGTGCAGGGATCAGCAGCCTCATTAACACCTAAAAATTTGTTGAAAATGAAAATGCATGGGCACCACCCTAGACTTGCTGAATCCAAATCTTTAGGGAGGAGGACCAGGAATCTGCATTTTAACAAGCTCATGTTCATGCATGCTGAAGTCTGAGACTCAAAGTTGCAGAGACTCATACATGTGTGCGCAAGGATTTACACACAAGAATGTTCAGAGCAGCATTATCTATAGTAACCTCAACCTGAAAAGAACCCAAATGTCCAGGAACTTAAAAAAAAAAACTGGGGGCGCCTGGGTGGCTCAGTTGGTTAAGCGACTGCCTTTGGCTCAGGTCATGATCCTGGAGTCCCAGGATCGAGTCCCACATCGGGCTCCCTGCTCAGCGGGGAGTCTGCTTCTCCCTCTGATGCTCCCCCCTCTCATGCTCTCTCTCTCTCTCATTCTCTCTCTCAAATAAATAAATAAAATCTTAAAAAAAAAAAAAACTGTCCAAATGCAGCAAAATAGGTAAGTGGAATAATGGAATAATATTCAGGAATGAACATGGACAGAGTCTTGTGCAAGATGGATAAACACTAAAATGATAACATGGAACATGGAAAAACAAATCCAGACACACAAGAATATGGACTCTGTAATTCTGTACAACAAAATAAAGTTCAAAATCAGGCAAACTAAATTATACCATTTGGAGGTGAATCCCTAAGTGACAAAACAGTCAAGTGAGGCAAGGAAGTTATACTCATTTAAGTCAGCATCATGATCTTTGGGGGGAAAGAAGGCAATGTGTTTAGGAACAGACACACGAGAGGCTTCTTGGGGGCTGGCAATGTCCTATTTCTTGACCTGGGTGATTGCTGAGTATGTACTCACTTTATGATAATTTGTTAAAGTGTGCATTTATGTTTTGTGCACTTTTCTGTAGGTGTGATGCATTTCACGATAAAAAAAATTAAAAAGGATATTAAGTGTCGGGAATGGTGACTTTCTGAGCTAGCCCTGTGTGTGGAACCTGCCAGATCCACTTCACACCTTGACTTCCCGCTTGGCCGATTCCCTGTAGCCCACCCAACGGCAAGTTGCAAATTTATAGGCCAACTGAGCCCAGATGGTTTCCTGTGATAGCTGCTAGGGGCATAATAATGAATACACGTCTCCCCACACGTTCCTGAATGCGTTTTGGCAGGATTTTTACTGCAGGCAGTAAAACCTTGTTACAAAGTCCCTCACTGTCTCAGGGGCTTGTCCATGTTGTGGTTGAGCCATATCGCCTCTTGTTACAGGCAGCCCGTCATCCTTGTCCCACATAGCATCCTTGAGAGCTGGCTTTCTCTCTGTTGTCCTACGAGGCTGTTTGATTGATTGTCACTAATAATCATTGCATTTCAGAAACCCGGATTCCTGTCCTCACAGCTGGAACTTCCTCTATGCACTAATTGGAAAAACATCCTCCGGGAAATGGGGCATCTTTATTGAGTCAATCTTTGGCGATGACTATGTCAACTGGCAAGATGAAGTTTATAGCACGGAAGTGAAGGTTCTGAAACCCTCCAGTGCACTGGTCCCAGGCCTCAATCCAAGAAGCTGCACTGACTTGAGCCTATCCCCCTATGGAAAACACTAAGGGTCATATTAGGGAAGGGCTAGCTTGAGAGGCTGCGGGTCAGTCCATAAGCTCAAAAGCCATCCCAGGTAGTGGTCCCCCAATTTTCTTCCCTTTCTTAATTATGCATATTCAGGGATACTGAATCTTGAAAGATCATATTATTATTAAAGATCACACATGGTAAGTCTAATGTGTATAATCAGGGATACTGAATATTAGCTGCATAATTAAAACTACATTTCCCAGACTCCCTTGCAATTAGATAAAGTCACATGAGGAAATTATGACTAATTAGAAAGCAAGCAGAAGGGGTATATGGAATTTCCATGAAGGTTCCTTTAAAAAGGGTATGCGTCCTTCTTCTCCCTTCCTTTCCTTGCTTTTGGCTGGAATGTGGCTGGAGATTTAGCAGCCATTTTTGAACAATGAGGTGACTTTGGAAATGGAGTCCATGCCAATGGATAGCAAAGCACTGTACCTTCCTGGACTCTTGCAAAATAGAAATTTTTTTTTTTAAGGTTTTATTTATTTAATTGACAGGGAGAGAGAGAGAGACAGCATGAGAGGGAACACAAGCAGGGGGAGTGGGAGAGGAAGAAGCAGGCTTCCGGCCGAGCAGAGAGCCCAATGTGGGGCTCGATCCCAGGACCCTGGGATCATGACCTGAGCTGAAGGCAGTCGCTTAACCAACTGAGCCACCCAGGCGCCCCAAAATAGAAATTTTTAAATCTTGTTTAAGCCATTACTTTGGGAGATTTTCTGTCACTTATAGTTGAAACTAATCTTAACTGATATAACAGCATTTTTTTATAACGGTAAAGAAGTAGAAGCAACCTCAGTGGTCCCTAAGAAGGAATTGGTGAAATTTGTTCACTCATTTGCTTACTCATTCATCACATTTTAAATGAGTGCCTATCACATATTTGGCTCTGTTCTAAGCATTGGGGATATAGTGGTAAAAAAAAATATTGTCTCTGCCCTCAAGAACTTTGTTAGAAGAGGAAGCAAGAGGTATAAATAAGTGGACAACTAAAACATAGTTTAATTAGTGGAACCATAGAGGCTGAGTAGTTTAAAAAAATATTTTAATGAGATAAGGAAAATGTTCATGGCATATTGCTAAAAACAGTAAGTTATTAAAGATCATACACGGTAAGTCTGATCTGTAAAACAGCATATATATTTGCATAGAGAAAGAACAAAACTAATGTATAATTAGTCTGAACACCTTGAACAACATTTAGCAAGCAAAAAAGAAATAGTTAATAACTGAATTTATTTCAAGGTGGAGGGACTATTTTTTTCCTCTGTATTTTTATTTATATTTTTTTAAAGATTTATTTATTTGAGAGAGAGAGTGTGAATGGTGGGAGAGGAAGAGAGTCTCAAGCAGACTCCCTGCTGAGTGCAGAGCCTGATGTGGGGCTGGATCCCATGACCCTGAGGTTATGACCTGAGCCTAAATCAAGAGTCGGCCACTTAACTGACTGAGCCACCCAGGTGCCCCTTCCTCAGTATTTTTATATGCTTTCCAAATGTTAGCCTCATAATATGTATTACTTTTGTAATAAGGAAAAAATATCAATGTGAGCAAACAATGTGCATTATGAAGTTCAGGATCAAGACGAAATGTGTAGGGTCGTGATTTTAGTAAGATTGCAAACTAAGTTGTGCTAAACAGTCTTAAAAAGAAACTCAAGTCTGAGGTCTGAGGTTGGCCTCTCCCTAGGGGGAGGGCACTAGAAGGGTCTGGTTCTCCGCCCCATGCCCTGTCTGGAGCATGCAGGGAAGTTTGCCCAGGGCTTTGTTCTACATTTTTAGTGGGGCAGGACCCACTGCAGCCAAGTTATTAAGCACTAGCCCTATCACTTCTCTTCCCATGGCTCCTCTCTGCTGGGCCTCTTGCCCAACCATTAAAGCAGCTGTTGTTGTTTTGTAGCGGCTAATTAACTCCACACTGCATGAAGCCAGACGCTAATTGGCCCACTCACTTAATCAACTTTAATGTCTCTCTTCTGGTGGACCCGGCTGCTGCTTTTTGTTCCCCTGATCACCAACAAATGCAGATCCAGAGGAGTGGCAATAATGGCCTCCAGTGGGCACAGGCAGCCTTAACCCTGTCCCCTCCCACAGGGCAGGGGCAGAGGATCACTCTGACCGTCAGTTAGCTCAGTGGACGTACTCTTAAGTTCCTGATCACTGGAGCATCTTGGGACCTGAGCTTATTGCTTCTCTTCCAAACATTGCACGATGATATGAGTCATCAGATGGTTGGTTCCTCAAGGAATTGACCTCATCTCTGTCTGTTGCTGACACATATTTAAGGCTCTAAAACCTAACTAACTTACACAATTATTGCAACTACATTTTCCTGAGTGTCTTTTGTGTCGCAGATGCTGTGGCAAGTCCTTTCCAATGCAACGTGAACACAACATGGCTCAGGGTAAGTAGGCAATACATACTCTTAACGGAATGAAGAAGAAACATCACTTATCCCCATTTGTCAGATGAAGAAACTGAGGCAATAATAATATTTACAAATGTGATTGCAATGAACATGTATATCATTTCAATCACAACCCTGAAAGATTAGGACCAAGAATTATTACAATCCTCATTTTGGGAAGAACTAGAACCTTCCAGAAAGAAAAGTGACTTTCCTAATGTCATGAAGTATGATAAACAGAATAATCCCCCCCGACCTCCCAAGATATGTATATCCTAATTCCCAGAACCTGTGAATATGTTTACTGACAGGGCAAAATGACTTTGCTGATGGATTAAGTTAAGGTACAGAGATGAGGAAGTTATTCTGGATTATTTAGTTGGACCTAATATAATCACAAAGTTTCTTGTAAGAGGGAGAGAGGAGGCTAAGAATCAGAGAAGGATGTGAGAATCGCAGAGGTCAGATAGGAGAGAAGATGCTACGTGGCTGACTTTGAAGACAGAGGAAGGGGCCATAAGCCAAGGATTGCAAGCAGCATCCAGAAGCTGGAAAAGGGAAGAAAATGGATTCTCCCCTGAAGCCTTCAGAAGCAATATGGCCTTGCCAACACTTTGACTGTAGACGTCTGACCCCTAGAGCTGTCAGAGAATATATTCATGGTGTTTTAGGTTACTAAGTCTGTGGTAATTTGTTACAGCAGATATATGAAACCAATACTGATTTTGTTACAGCAGCAATAAAAAACAAGTACACACTATAAGTAGAAGAATTAAAGGGCTTGAACGTAGGCATCATGACATGAAATCCCTTTCTGAGTGAGTTGACAAGATTCCCCTCTACCTGATCATTATGTGGTGATTTTGAATGCTAGCCTCCCTTAAGATGAGGACAAACTGTGTATGTGGGTCTGTGGGCCTGGCCTCTCCTTGCAGCCCAGCTGGCCCTCTGCCCCTTTCCTCGTCCATTCCACCCTTCTTTTCCTTCCTCAAGCATCTGAAACCCAGCTGCACAATATACCTCATCTGGGGGAAGCCATAGTTCTGTCTCTATCTGCAGATCAGCTGTGGCCAGGGCCAAATGCGTCACAGAGCTTGTGGGGGTTTGGTGTTCAGGACCCCGCAGAGCAGCGTGGTTAGGCTCTGACCTTTGAATTCTACCTACGCCCCTTACTTTCAGTGTGCCTCCCTGTCATCTGCCACTAACAGGGTTGTTGGGAGAATGAAATGACACAACCCACATGTCATGCTTCGCACAATATCCAGCAATGATAAATACTCAACAGACATTGGCAATAATAACACCATGCAAACTGAGCTCCTGGCTGGCAGACCCCTGAGGCCCATCCCTAGAGCAGCGGTTCTCAGACTGTGGCATGCATCAGATTCACCTGGAAGGGACGGGACCCCACTTCCAGCGTTTCTGATTCAGTAGGTCTAGGTGGGACCCAAGAATCTGCATGGCTAACACATTTCCAGGCAAATGGGGATGTTGCTGTGCCAGGGAACATACTTTGAGAACCACCAACGTAAAACATAGAGGCAAGAGTTGTGCTTTCTATGTTATTTTCCCCCAGTGTCCAGCACAATGCCTGGTACATAACAGGCATGCAACAAATATCTGTGGAATGAATACATTTTTTCCACCGTCTTCCTGAGGCTTTAAATGTCCAGGAGGCTGCCCTTCTCCATAAAAGAATTCCATTCTCTATCTTTTTTATCACCATCATATTTACTACAACTTGGCGCTGATAATCTCCTCTTCATAGACTCCCTGTTTTCCCCTTGAATACCCTCCATTTCCCCAGCGAGTGTCTCTCCCCTGGATCTCAACCTTTTCCATTAACTCCATGCACTGCACAGCCTGTTCCAGGACATCAAACTTTAATTTAAACAGAAAATAATCAATAAGCTTAGCAAATTGCCCATGGCAACCTCTGCTGAGTGAATCAAAGGGTTTTATAGGTAATTTAAAGGGTGTCCTCACTCATCCCTCAAGGTAAAGCTTAGCACATTGACAAGAGCTCTTTTCCACTCTGGCCCAGGATGCTCTGGAATAAAATGGAAGAGAAAGGACTTAGGGTTGGGGTTGGGAGTGGTTGGGCCAGGCAGGAATGGTCTGTCATTTAGGATTAAAAGCTTCTAAGAAAAAAAGCACTGACCTCTGATAATGAACCCAATGTGAGAAAGGGTTTTGCTTTTGTTTTTTTGTTGTTGTTGTTGTTGTTGTTGTTGTTGTTTTTGTTATAGGCAACAGAAACAGACTGTGGATAACTTCAGGAAATAAAAGTACTGTCAGGCTAGGAGGTGTAATTGACAAAAAAGGCTAAATCGCTGGGTCTCAGAAATAATAGAAACCGGAGTTTGCTCTTTTGAAGGTGTTGTTTGGGGATGTGCCTGTATTTTGATCCAGGATTCATATTCCGAGAGAGCAGCTGGGACACGTGGCCCTCCCTTGGCCTGGGGGGGATGAGTCACCATGATGGACGGTCCCACTAGGAAATGAAGTGGAGAGGAGAGCTAGTTCTCCAGAGGAATGACGAGGTAGAGAATCTAAAGAATGGAACTGGGAAAGCTGGGCTGGCAAAAACATGTTTCCACTATAGAACTTCGTGGAAACACTATAGATCTTTGTGGTTTTGACTGATCTTTTTCTCCAAACAAGAGTGGCCAGTCTAGCCATGTTTATGAGATTCTGGGGCCTGTGCAGGACTTTGAAGGGCCATCAAGTGCATGGCCTGGTTATCTACCCAAACCAGAGAGCTATCATTTTCTGAGAATCTCCCCAGACTCCTCTGAGAAGATTGCCCGACTTTTAAATCCTTACAGATAGTTCTTTCTTCGAGGGTGATATAAATATTTGACAACCAGCACACCATGGGAATGGGCTAACCAAAACTGTCACAGCAGGAAACAACCCAGAAGACCAAACTGATCCATGCCAACTGACCATCAGTCCAGCGTCTCCTTAACCTAAGTGGGACATTGAAAGCCTGTTCTGAGCTCCACAGTGGACGCCCAGAACAGCTCCTCATTCCTTAGGAGAAATACTGGGGTCTTCTTTCCTGAGTTTCCCAGACCCATAGCTTTGTCAGGGACTCCAGAATTTAAAGTGACAACTTAGGATGGATGCTGCCATCTTAACAGAGAATGCCACGCAGGCTGCTCTTTTCTCCTGTTTATTAAACTCTGGGGCCATTCTGCCTGAGTTCAAAACCCAGCTCCGCTACCTACCATCTCAGAGACCTCCAGCAAGTGATTTACCCTCTCGGAACCTACGTTTTCATTTGTAACAACAAGCTAATAATAGACCCTGCCTTGTAAAGGGTGAAGAATTACATGAATTAAAGCCTATAAGGTGCTTAGCATTGTACCTTTTTTATAGATGGTACCCAACATATGTTGGCTGTTGTTGTTATTACATTATTAACATTTATCTTCTGAAAACATCAAGGGCACAGTATCCTTGGAAACCATGTGTTCAATCCCTTCCTTGGACAGAGGAACAGTGAGGCCCTGGGAGGTTGTCATTTACACAAGGCCACACAGTCAGTTGGAGCCTGTGACTATGACCCAGCCTGTGGCAGCTGAGTGGGTAACATCTGTGCAGAGTGGTCTATGGACCCCATGCACGGACCAAGAAGGTAGGGACTTCTAGGGGTGGCATTGGAGGCCTGGGAGAGCCGAGCATGGAACCTGCCTCGCCATTGGCTGTGAATTGCACCTAGCTGTCCCAGAACCTTCTCGCCACCCCTGGTGAGGGTGGGGGTGCGGGTTAGCAGGGAAGGCAAAGTAGAGAGTGAAAGCCTCCAGGGAAGCAGAGTCAGAGAGTCTGGCTTTTGTCTCTAACTTGGCTTTATGCTAGCTCCATCCTGCTGGGAGTAACTGGCACTTCTGACTGCCTTTATTCTTCTCTAAGTATTTTTACATAACCTATCATTTCATTTAATCTCTGCTCCACCCTGTGAACTAATTATTATTATTAGTCCACTTGAGAAATGAGACAGAGGTTAAATGACTTGTACTTCATCCTTTTTTTAAAAAAAAATTTTATTATGGAAAGTTTCAAACCTGCATAAAAGAAAATGAAAATAGGATCACAAACCTCCATTTTCTATTCACAGCTTCAACAATTATCCACGTATGGCCATTCTTGTTTTATCTATGTACCCCCACCCCAACATTGTTTCTCCTTCACTGTAAAGCAAATTCTAGACATCATAACATTTCATCCATAAATACATCACCAAATGATAAGGACTCTTTTTTTTTTTTTTTTTTTTTAATTTTTTTATTCTTATGTTAATCCCCTTACATTACAACATTAGTTCTAGATGAAGTGTTCCATGATTCATTGTTTGTGCACAACACCCAGTGCTCCATGCAGAATGTGCCCTCCTAAATACCCACCACCAGGCTAACCCATCCTCCCACCCCCCTCCCCTCTAGAACCCTGTTTGTTTTTCAGAGTCCATCGTCTCTCATGGTTCGTCTACCCCTCCGATTTCCCCCGCTTCATTCTTCCCCTCCTGCTACCTTCTTCTTCTTCTTCTTCTTTTTTTTTTCTTAACATATATTGCATTATTTGTTTCAGAGGTACAGATCTGAGATTCAACAGTCTTGCACAATTCACAGCGCTTACCAGAGCACATACACTCCCCAGTGTCTATCACCCAGTCACCCCATCCCTCCCACCCCACCCCCCACTCCAACAACACTCAGTTTGTTTCCTGCGATTAAGAATTCCTCATATCAGTGAGATCATATGATACATGTCTTTCTCTGTTTGACTTATTTCACTCAACATAATACCCTCCAGTTCCATCCACGTTGTTGCAAATGGCAATATCTCATTCCTTTTGATGGCTGCATAATATTCCATTGTATATATATACCACATCTTCTTTATCCATTCATCTGTCGATGGACATCTTGGCTCTTTCCACAGTTTGGCTATTGTGGACATTGCTGCTATAAACATCGGGGTGCACGTACCCC